ACTACAAAAAATGTCTGGTCGTGCTCTTGGTGAAAAGAAAAGTTTCCTCCAATACCTGCAATCAGTTTACGCAACAACAGATTCAACTGATGCCTTACAACTCAACATTGTTCGTGCTCATCTACAAATGAATGTATTACAATGGGAAGCTGAATATATGGAACTAGTACGACAATATGTGAAACCTGAACGTGAACTACGACGACGATTGACGACAACACATCTCCGGAAAATTTTGTCTACTGGTGATACTACTGGTTTTGCTCATACTCAAATGACAAATGTGGATTTACGTACAAAACGTGCAACTGAATCGGTGGATCTACCTCTACTTGATGTTGGATTGGATGGTTATCCTGAAGATGTGGATGTTGGACTCAACGGTATGACCTATTGCATATCAAACAGCAATACATCAAATACGGCGTTATCACAACAACCTCGTTTGGGAGAATCACCTACTTCGATATCACCTTGGCTAGAAGAAGAAAGACGGTTGGACTATATTTTGGAACAAATGGATGCAGATTATCTTCAACAACAGGGAATGCTTTCAAATTCCACACCTTCGTCAATGCTACAGCAGTTCACACCAATCGAATATGATGACAAAAGCACGAATATACTGGATTCAGATGTTGCTAGACGATTATCTTTGGAACTGATGCATACTTCTAGTGATCGAGACAGCGATGCCATGATGGATGAAGATAGTATACGAACAAAAGCAATATCAAAGGCAAAGACAAGATCGACCTCAAACAATCATCGTTATAAAGCCATATCCTATCGTCAATTGAATGCTCATATTTTATCCGAAGCGACTATTCTACGATCAAAAAGCTCTCCTTCATCTCCCTCTACTGTACTTGATCAACATTTATCTCGTATTCCACAACGTACATCAGCAGAAAGGCGTAAACAAAATTTGGACTCGACTTCATCATCTCGGCAATCTAGTCATGGGAATCGAAAGCGACGTATTGCAACGAAATCGTCAGCAGCAGTACCTGTAGATAGCAATCATAATGACGACGAAACTTCACCTGGAAAAAAAGATATTCCTCTCAATGGATACCGGTATGGATACAAAGGATCAACGGAACGATTGCAACAAACAAGCGGTACATATGTTCGACCTAGGGCATCTGCAAGCGCAAGTCGGATATATGCTCATCATCAACATCACCATCAAGTACCAGGTGGGGACATCAACAACTTCGACAAAATTACCCAAGCCTCAGACCAATATCAGCTATACATTACCACCACCTCCTGGGAAATTGACCATGACTTGTAGTATACCAAGATCATCAGGGGCAAACCACAACATCTTCTTCTTTCTTCCTCATCTACTTCAATCCTTCGAACAACCGCTACAAATACAAGATCGGTACGTCAACGATTGGAAAGCAAATCATCTATTGAAGTCTACACTACAGTGCGTGAATTGGTGCGTGAAGAATCTGATGAAGAATTCCAAGCAACAGATGTCGATGAATCAGATTCTGACGAGGAATAAGTGATGAACAGCAGCAACGACAGGATGGGAATAAAGGACACAAGAAGTAAAATAATATCATCACAACTGCGGCTATGGAAAATGACAACAATGACTCAGCTTTGGAAGGAAATGAAGATGATGGTGATGACCAATAGTACTGATTTTGAAATGGATGATAATGAATGGCAATTTCACGACAAGTCGACGTATCTTCTCTTTGACACAAACGGATGAATATGATGAATCACTTTGTCGAGACAATACAAACTCGTTGCTTGGAAATACGGTTCAGCTTTATTTGCCACAAGAAGACCAACAAGAAATATCTGGAAAAGGACAAAAACGGTATCATCATCATGATCATCATCATTCTAGGAACCGATATCATCCATCAGGTAGAAGGACACAATCGGCAGCTTTACCTCATCTTACATTTGATCCTGAAGATAACCTGGACGATACTGACAACTTGGCAAACTTACAGCAACAACCTACAAATCATTACCATACGATATCTGCATTTTCTGATACTCGAAATGGGTCGATTCATCTTTCAACATCAAGAATATCAACGACGTCCAGCAATCCATTGGTATACGGTAATTACAAAAAAAAAAAAAAAAAAAAAAAAAAAAAAAGCAAAGGAAGATGGAATATATTGAATTCATTTTTTTCCCTTTTTGTGAATAGATTCTCCAAGTATCGACATTTCTTCAAATGTCATGGAACGAAATTCAATTGTAAAGGCGATCGCAAATATATTGGCTGAAAGAGGAGTTGGGAATCTTTTACCATTAGAATACCCATTGTAAGTGATCACTATTTAGAAAAACAAAAAAAAAAAAAAAAAAAAAAAAGAGATGTTCATTATATTTTATATATAGATCACCATTAGAACATGTCTTTCCGAAATCAATTATTGTAGTACGTGAAGATGAACCTAGTACAATTGTGGCAGCTGCATTATCATCGGATGATTATATCGGACGACTCTTTGAAATTAGAGAACAGTACATGATGGACAATAATACGACTGAAGAAACCAATAATGAAAAACTGGCCACAGGTATCGACACATCTACTTCTGGGATTACATCTTCCGATCTATCTATTGAACGAACTTTACGATCGAAATCTGGCATTCATATGAAGTCTTGTAAGTTTGATTTGTTCGATACTATTTTGTTATTGACCATTCCACTTTGTTATATTTAGATTTCACGGATGGAACAACAAAATTCTTTTGCAAGATCTTTTTTGCTGAACAATTCGATGCCTTACGAAGAAACTGTGGTTGTGAAGAAAGTTTTATTGCATCTTTGGCGCAATGTGCAAAATGGGATTCATCTGGTGGCAAATCTGGTTCCACATTTTTGAAAACAAAAGGTAAGAAAAAAAAAAGAGGTATCATATAAACCTATATATACTAACATTCCGTCTTTTTTTTTTTTATGTAGATGGTCGGTTCTTGTTAAAACAGATTTCAAGATATGAAATGGATGCATTTTCGAACTTCGCTCCTTCCTATTTCCAGTATATGTCTGAAGCCTTTTTCCATGAAGTAAGTAGTTATAAAGTAAGAAAAAAATATATGAAAGATAAATCTCACCAATGTCTGTTGTATTAACTAGCTACCCACTGTACTCTGTAAGATTTTTGGATTATATCGTGTTGGGTACAAGAATATGACCACAGGACGATCCATTAGAATGGATATCTTGGTGATGGAAAACTTGTTTTATGATCGTTGTGTTCAAAAGGTAAAAAGTGAAAAAAAAAATAGACCGATCACGGAAAAAAAAAAAATAGAAGAACTCATTTTATACTATTAGATCTTTGATTTGAAAGGATCTATGCGAAATCGACATGTTCAAGTGACAGGCAAAGAAAATGAAGTTCTTTTAGATGAAAACATGGTAGAATGTAAGCAAAAAAAAAAAAAAAAAAATGATGATGGATAAACTTATATATGTTTTATAGATTTGTTTCAATCACCTTTGTTTTTATATTCCCATTCAAAACAAATGCTTCGTGAATCTCTACACAATGATACTCTATTCTTATCTCGTTTGGATGTAATGGATTATTCGTTATTGGTGGGTATTGATGAAGAAAAACAAGAACTCGTAGTTGGTATAGTTGGTAAGCTCCAAAAAAAAAAAAAAAAAAGAAAGATTAATATATCAGTAGACTTATCTTTTTATATATATATAGATTTTATTCGTACATTTACGTGGGATAAGAAATTGGAAAGTTGGGTCAAAGATTCAGGCATTTTCGGTGGTGGAGGCAAGGAACCAACCATCATCTCACCTCGACAGTATAGAATTCGGTTCCGGGAAGCTATGGATCGTTATTTTTTGATGGTACCTGATTTTTGGACGACTATCAATATTTGATTATTATTATTATTATTTTGGTTCTTCTTTCTATAACAAACTGATTCTACGATTTCTCATTGTTAATCTTACTATTATTAGTTGTTACTATTACTTATCCTCCTCGTATTAGAAATACCTTGACTTTTTTTTTTTTTTTTTTTTTACAAATTCTTTTGATTTTGTTATATCTCTTTTGATACCCTTCCTCCTTTCTTGATTATCTAGTCAATGAAATAAATATACTATTCCTTCTTTATTTGTTCTTCTTCTGTCTCTATCTTTTCTGATTCCTTCATTTTAATCATCATTCATTAAGAGTTCAGTCTAAATCATCATCTTATTATTATTATCATTTATTCATCTATTCAACTTTCTTTTAATGCAAATCATAAGTGTTTCCATAAATGGTATACATTCAAAGTCCGTTATCAATGTGGGGTGTGTTGGATCAAAAAAAAAAAAGTCGACCAACTTTTTTTTTGAGATTGGAACCTCCAGAGATCAAAAAAATCTGGGAGATTGAAAAAAAAAAAAAATTGTTGGAGAAAATGGAAAAAAGTTGGACCAAGCTCTGACAAAAGAAAAATTTGGCGCACTCTTCACTTTTTTTTTTTTCCTTTTGCATTTTTTATTTTTTTTTTACCTTTCTTTTTTTAATCAATGACTCTTTTGAACATTGTAAGTTACCATTATACATTACTTTATTAATCTATATTTAAAAGTCACTCTTTATATATATTATACTTACTCTATACTTATTCTTTCTTCTTCTTCCTCTTACTCTTTCATATTATGAACTAATCTATTTTTGTTTTGTCTTTTTTCTGTTTTACTCTTTCTGTGAACATATAATAGATAGATATATGAAGAAATATACAATAGAATTAACTGGATTTATAAGTTTTCTATTGGACAAAAGAACAGAAAGTTAGGGAAAAGTATCCAACTCTTTATCATGGAAATTAGTTTATTGAATAGTTTAGTCTTTTAGTTATAGATATTATATTTTCATTTAAATAAAATCATACTTTTATTATTGTTATTTCACTATTATTTATCTATTTGTCCTCTATCATCATCCTTATCGAAAGGACTAATAAGAAAGAATAGTATGATTATCATTTTAGTTTTACTAAAAAATAAAAAAAAAATCCATATACACATCAGTATCTGTTATTTCTCTTCATATATTACATCCATCATTTTTAAGAATAGATATTCTCTTATTATCAATCATCATCACCACCCATGATAATAGCAAGTTGTACCTGTATACTGTTGACTGTTCGTCTTCTCTCTTAACGAAAATAACGATCTCGTTGATGACACCGTAGGATAGACCATGCACTTCACTATATAATACACTCAAAGAAACATTTTTATTAAATCATCACAACAATAGATAGTAGCAATAGGTACATACACAAAGCATCATAGCAGGATAATTTAAATAATCAAACATTTTATTTAAATAAAAGAGTACTTTTACAGGAGAAAAGAAAGGGAATAAAGAAAAAAAGTAACTAAATACCAACAATATAAAGAATATTTACAATACTGGTGATAATAATGACAATGGTAATAATAGTAATAATACTAATGGAGACAGAGATGCCAATCAAGTAGAAAACAGAATGAGAGACCAACCAAATAGGAAGAAACAAAAAAAAAAAAAAAAAAAGACAAGGACTAACCATGTAGTAAAGGGTTCTGGAAGAAAATACCATGACAACGAGAGACAGATGAAGGAGACGGAAAGAGAGAGACCAACCAAGTAAAAAAAGAGACGAAGAGACCACACAAACATGAGAGGGAACAACAAGAGAGAGAGAGAGACACCCTACCATTAGAGAAAATAATCAACCAAGTAGGAAGAAAAAAAAAGACCTTCAAAAGTACCTGTACATACAAGTTGACTTGCATTTGCTGTTCAGTCCAGAGTCCAATAGTAAATAAGATAAAAAAATAAAACGATTAGTTCCTTAATCTATGTCTTACCATCATAATTGTCATTCCATCCACTCCCAAACCATTAGAAGAGCCGTAACCAGCTAAAACTAGAGAGAGAGAAAAAAAAAAAAAAGGAAAGAAAGATGAGAGAAATGAGATAGAAAGGAAAGGAAAAGAAATGAAAACTCAGTTAGATAAAACAAGAAATGAATTTATGAGTTGGCTGAATTAAAGTATCTCTCAAAGCAATCACGTATGTTTTCTTTTCTTTTCTTTTCAATAAAGAAGATTTAGACTATATAGACAGTAATATCTAAAAGATCAATAAAATAAAAGAAGAAATACATTAGTATCATTTCCTTTTTCATCTATTATCTTTTTTAGACTTATCATTTTGCACCATTGATCGTTTTATATCACTGTTTTGTTTGACTAAAGGTTAATATAAAGTAATGATGATCATTCGAGATTTGATAGTATAAACAACAGCCATTGTATCTACAGATAAAATCAACCAAAAAAACAATACTCCATCACTGTTATTCTTATATATATCAATGTTACCTTGTGTATATCATCTGACAGCGATACCGTATCAATCCCCATACAATAAAAGGAAGGATCTAAAAAAAAAAAAAAGAGAGAGAGAGAGAAAGAAGCAAGTGATTGTACGTAATATTGATTGATCATCTTTTTCTTTCCTGACAACTTACTGATTTGATTGTATAGACGACAATCATGATACCTACAAATTAAAAAAAAAAAAAAAAAAAAAACAGATGAGTAGCAATCTGTTACTCCTTCTTTTTATATACATGTTACCTTCTCAATAACTAGTGGATGTCTTGTATCATATTGCAATTGAATGTCATCATCATCATGAGTTCGGAGAGAAAGAAGGGTTGCCACTAGCAGTACATCTGACATTTTAAGACCATCAAGGTAGGTAGCTTGTTCCGGTTTTAATAGATACGCTCCACTGACCAGTTATGATATTATCCCCTAATTCTTTCCAAACCATACCGCAAATGGCAGGACTTCCAAGGACTCCAGCATGAAACAACACGGCTTACAGGCGATATACTGTATTCCCTGCATGTTGCCTTCTAGTCTCCACCTACTTGAGCACTAGATCCAGCCCCTAGATTCATAAATGATCCTAGACACCAGTCATCCTCGACCAAGTCCAATGCCTGTTAGATAAACAAAGATCATCCCGCCATGATCTTTGAGTATCACCAAAAGCTAAGTATAAAACGATGATGATCATTCGACATTTGATTGTATAGACGACAGTCATGATACCTACAAATTAAAAAAAAAAAAAACAAATGAGTAGCAACCTGGTACTCTTTTTTTTTTTTAATACATGTTACCTTGTCAACACCGGTGGATGTTTTATATCATATCACAGTTGAATGTCATCATCATCATGAGTTCGGAGAGAAAGAAGGGTTGCCACTAGCAGTATATCTGACATTTTAAGACCATCAAGGAAGGTAGCTTGTTCCGGTTTTAATAGATACGCTCCACTGACCAGTTATGATATTATCCCCTAATTCTTTCCAAACCATACCGCAATTGGCAGGACTTCCAAGGACTCCAGCATGAAACAACACGACCTACAGGCGATATACTGTATTCCCTGCATGTTGCCTTCTAGTCTCCACCTACTTGAGCACTAGATCCAGCCTCTAGATTCATAAATGATCCTAGACACCAGTCATCCTCGACCAAGTCCAATGCCTGTTAGATAAACAAAGATCATCCCGCCATGATCTTTGAGTATCACCAAAAGCTAAGTATAAAATGATGATGACCATTCGACATTTGACTGTATAGGCGACAATCATGGTACCTACAAATTAAAAAAAAAAAACAAATGAGTAGCAATCTGGTACTCTTTTTTTCTTTTCTTTTTTTATATACATGTTACCTTGTCAACACCAGCGGATGTTTTGTATCATATTGCAATTGAATGTCATCATCATCACGAGTTCGGAGAGAAAGAAGGGTTGCCACTAGCAGTATATCTGACATTTTAAGACCATCAAGGTAGGTAGCTTGTTCCGGTTTTAATAGATACGCTCCACTGACCAGTTATGATATTATCCCCTAATTCTTTCCAAACCATACCGCAATTGGCAGGACTTCCAAGGACTCCAGCTTGAAACAACACGGCCTACAGGCGATATACTGTATTCCCTGCATGTTGCCTTCTAGCCTCCACCTACTTGAGCACCAGATCCAGCCTCTAGATTCATAAATGATCCTAGACACCAGTCATCCTCGACCAAGTCCAATGCCTGTTAGATAAACAAAGATCATCACGCCATGATCTTTGAATATCACCAAAAGCTAAGTATAAAACGATGATGACCATTCGACAATTGATTGTATAGACGACAATCATGATACCTACAAATTAGAAAAAAAAAACAAATGAGTAGCAATCTGGTACTCTTTTTTTCTTTTCTTTTTTTATATACATGTTACCTTGTCAACACCAGCGGATGTTTTGTATCATATTGCAATTGAATGTCATCATCATCACGAGTTCGGAGAGAAAGAAGGGTTGCCACTAGCAGTATATCTGACATTTTAAGACCATCAAAGTAGGTAGCTTGTTCCGGTTTTAATAGATACGCTCCACTGACCAGTTATGATATTATCCCCTAATTCTTTCCAAACCATACCGCAAATGGCAGGACTTCCAAGGACTCCAGCATGAAACAACACGACCTACAGGCGATATACTGTATTCCCTGCATGTTGCCTTCTAGTCTCCACCTACTTGAGCACTAGATCCAGCCTCTAGATTCATAAATGATCCTAGACACCAGTCATCCTCGACCAAGTCCAATGCCTGTTAGATAAACAAAGATCATCACGCCATGATCTTTGAATATCACCAAAAGCTAAGTATAAAATGATGATGACCATTCGACATTTGATTGTATAGGCGACAATCATGATACCTACAAATTAAAATAAACCAAATGAGTAGCAATCTATTACTCTTTTTTTTTTTTTATATATATACATGTTACCTTATCAATAACCAGTGGATGTTTTGCATCATCTTGATTGTATAGGCGACAATTGTGGCATCTACAAATAGAATCAGTAAAACGAGTACTAGTTCATCACTATTATTCTCTCTCCTTTTTTTTTTTTAATGTATGGATTACCTTAGTTACATGGTTCACCAGTGTTGATGTATCAATCATAAAAGTGAAACCAAAGGAAGAACCAAGGACAATTTACAAATAGTATAGGCGAAACCGAAGCTATTGATTTTTGTTGAAAGGAATGGAGAGTACCACAAGACGAAGGGATAATAGTCCAAGGTCATGGGAGAAAACAATAAGTGGAAGACATCATACCAAGTGAGAGGGACAAAAAAGAAAAGAAAGACAAAGACCAACCATGCAAGAAAGAGATTTCGAAGAAAGCACCATGACAATGAGAGACAGATAAGGGAAAGGGAAAGAGAGAGAGAGAGAGAGACCAACCAAGTAAAAAAGAGAAGAAGAGACCACGCAAACTCGAGAGATAACAACAAGAGAGTGAGAGGCACACCATACCATTAGAGAAATAATCTTGAAGAAACCAACATCATAGGAGAGAATAACCAACCAAGTAGGAAGAAATGAAAAAAGATCTTCAAAAGTACCTGTAACACAAGTTGACTTGCATTTGGTGCTCCGTCCAGAGTCTAATGGTAAAAAAGATAAAAAAAAAAAGAAAAACGATTAGTTCCTTAATCTATGTCTTACCTCCATTCTTGTCATTCCAACCAGTTCCAAACCATTAGAAGAGCCATAACCAGGTAAAGCTAGAGAGAGAAAAAAAAAAAAAAAAAGAAGGAAAGAAAGACGAGAGAAGGAAGGAAAAAGAAAAGAAAAGATACGTGATTGCTTTGAAAGATACCTCAATTCAGCCAACTCATAAACTCATTTCAATAAAAAATATTTAACATCTATTATTTTTTTTTATACTTATCTTTTTACACCATTGGCTTGCTTTGTATCATCGTTTCGTTTGACCAAAACCGAGAAGAAAAGAGATCTTGACAAATGGAAAAACCAGAAGAGTCATGAATTAACACAAAACAAGTAAGTAATTATATTTTATACTGACTTTTTATTATTTTATTTTATTTATTTTCTAAATTGACAATTGTAGAATAAGAATCCATTACTGTCATTGTATTTTATATGTTACCTGTCATTATTCCAATATGGAGACGCGAACAGAGTGCGGAGAATGAATGGAAAAAGTGTGGAGAAATGGAAAGAGAAAGAAAGAAAAGAAAAATGTGGGGAAACGAAATAAATAATAAAAAAAAGAAAGCAAAAGCCCGAATAGATAAAAGTGACGTACCAAAAGTAGCAAAATAAAGAGAAAGAATATATTGTAATGTGATAATGAATGTACAATTAAAAAGTAGATTAGTTTTTTGACATTTTCCTTTCAATGTCAAAAACTAATCTACTTTTTCTTTCACTGTTGATAATACATTTAGATCGAGTCAAGAATACAATATATGGCAAAAAAGGGAAAAAAACGACAAAGTATATGAAAAAGAGAATTAATATGATTCCATGTTGTTTCTTGTTTTTCATATTATTGTTAGAAAGTCTTTAAACTCTGATTCTCTTTGCTTGGATTCAGCTGTCATTTAATTTATTTAAGGAACCAGGTACAGAAATGCATTGATGACTGTTCGAGAGCTAATAACTAATAATATTAGAGAAAAGTAATAATTATGATTTTATTAAAAAAAAAAAAGAATGTAAATATATATAATTGATATACTAAGTATCATTTTAAACTACAAGTAAAAAGAATCACTAACGATTCATAAGCCAGAATAAAAGAAAAAGATACTTCTAATTGATTGTATAATCCAACCCAGTTGAATCCTATAATATATCCTGTTCATCCATGTTATCCACACCTTATGACAATAGCACGTATTCATTTCGTTTAATTCTGTGATCCTATTGTATATCTATCCATTCCGCTGATTCAGATGTATAGCCACTTTGCGTAATTATCCTATTGATACTATATTTGAATGATCAAGACTTCATGTATCTAGATTTCTTTCTTTCTTTTAGACATATATTCAGTGATGATGATCGTCAAGGATACCAATTATGAAGTATGAGAAGAAGAAAAAATGGTAATTCTAGATGGATGGATGTTGTAGTAAAAAGATCAAGATCAGAAGAACGTATATATAAAAAAAAAAGGAAAGAGGTTAGAAAAAAAAACAAAAAGAAGAAAAGCATTTGTTTTTGAAACTTACCTTTAATAAGAGTAAATATTTGTGGAATGTGTAAAAAAAAAAAAAAAAAAAAAGAAAGAAAGAAAGAAAGAAAGAAAGAAAGAAAGAAAGAAAGAAAGAAAGAAAAAAGAAAAAGATTTATTTTATATGTCTACCTGATCGGAACCAGTTTAAAAAAATCCTGCAAATCAAATCTACCAATCATAAGGAATCACATAGGTTTAAGTTTTTTTTTTTGAATTGATTTTTTTTATTATTGATTATAGTAACATCATAATGATGATGATGATGATATATTAGAATAAATACTTTCAAGTGAATGTCTTGATCACTTATTTCATATTCCTTGTATTCATTAAATTTTGAATAATCATGATAGTGAAGAAAGATTACAAAAGAAAAAGGAATATCAAGCATAGAAGTTAAATCAATTTGAACAACTTTTTATTATGGAACATCAATTACATTCATATAGAATAATAAATCAGTTTAAATATCATAAATTGATTACCTGATAATATAAAATAATAAAGTAATGAATATAAATTATGAAAAGCGGTAGTTGAACATCCAAAAAAGGAAAGGCTCAATTCATGAGGTTATATAAAATAGACCTCACATTTTTTTATTTTCTCACACTTTCTTGTTCTTTTTCTTCTTCTTTATCACTACTGTTATAAACTTCTTTTTTTTTTTATTTTGTATAAAAAGTAAGTAAAGATATAATAAAAGGGACTTGATATATTTGTTAACCAAACTCTCTCTCTTTTTATCTTGTTATAGAAATACCATCTCTTCACTCTTGTTTACAAACTGAATCCTCGATATATATTCAATAGATCATGAAACTATAACAATGGTACTATAACTATCAAAGGTACTACTATAAATCCAAAAGAAAAAAAAAGAAATAGTAAAATAATAAGTGATTTGGGTATGGCTGCGATTCCCATTCTTTCCTTTTTTTTTTCTCAGCAGTATTCCAGTATAATGCCTATGGAAAGGCTATTGAATATATCTATCAATTATGGTTATCAAGCACAAACAAAACACAATCAAGAATATTATCTTTGAAGGTAAGACTTAAAATACGATAATGAAGGATCTGTCAATCAAGGTATCACTTTTTTTTTTTTTTGTTGATGGGTAGTGTCACAAATACAAGATTTAGCTGTTTATATGTTGCTCTTTTCTCTATAAAGGCATCCTTCTTATCAAGATGGTTTGAATTCTTATCATTTATTTATCCTCGTGGAAATTGATATCGTTATCATTACTATCGTTGTCATCCTTCAACTGTTATTGGTATAGGTTCCAACTACAGTGGAATATATACTACACATATCAACCATTAACATTTATTTATTAAATAGATAGGTTGTCATGATACAGGTCCATCAGTCTTATT